ATGATTATAAAAAAGAAAATCGAAGAAAGAAGTGTCACAGTAAGAATGGCGAGGTGAAATAATGGCGGTTGTAAAATTCGTATGAGGCCGATGAAGATAAAAAAGAAAGTTTTTCATGGTTATAATATTTTTATTTATGAGGGAAATCAAATTTCAAACTCAGTCAATATCAAATCAAATATCAAGTATCAAACAAATATCAAATAGAACTCAAATAATCAGATACTTGTTTAGGAATTGCATTCTGTAATCCTTTATATGGTCTATTTTTTGATTTTTCGTTTTTTTATTTTTAATTTAGTTTGTGTTTTATTTTATTTTTTTTATTTTTTCTTTATTTTCCTTTATTTTCCTTTATTTTCTTTGTTTTCCTTTATTTTCCTCTATTTCTGCTTTATTTTCTGTATTTTTCCTTTATTTTCTTTATTTTTTTCTATTTTTTTTACTTTTCCTTTATTTTCATTATTTTTTTTTATTTTCTTTATTTTTCCTTTATTTTCTTTATTTTTTCTTTATTTTTTATTAAATTTACATATTCGTTAATAGTACAATTTCCTTATGAATGAGGTTGTTTTGAAGAAAACTCATGCCACTCGCAATTAGAATAGAACTGAGAATTGAACCACTTATGGAAAAATTATCACTTACTTGACCTAGAGACTTTCACATTTCTTCAGGATATATTATTTTTATTCAGATTCGAATTTACAAAGAACGCCCTAAATCCAGATCCATTTGAGTGTTAATATGAAAAATGTTTTAAACTCTCAAGTTATGGGTTTTATTAAAGGTCCTAAATTCACATTAGAACTGCTGACAGTCAGCAATAAAAATCTGTTCAGATACCGAATAAAAATTGCTTCCTGAAAACATTTTAAGATAGAAAAAAATCTTTATTTGAACGTTCAAAACTTTTAGGAAAATAATTAATTTCTTAATAATAGAAACGATTAATTATATAATTTCTAATAAATTTTAATAATTTTTATAATTTTAATTTTTTTTATAGTTTTAATTTCTTTGGCAAAAAATGTTTTCTCTCTGCGGAAGATACCTTGGTTGGAATGCATATAGTAGAAGCTATAGAACATGTATAGACATATAATTAATCTTGAATCTTTAGTTTATAGTCTTTGAGGGAGCAGAGAACAGAAAACAGAGGTTTATATATAAAATAAGTTATACAGAAAACCAATTTCATTCCACAATGAAACAAGTTTTCAGTCATTTAGTTCAGGCGATGTTTCACCCCCCGCCCCCGACAGAAACAGAAAATACGTTGCAATGTCCTAACCCAATGCAAACTTCTATAACGAGATTATCTGAATACTGTCATGATGTCGGATAATGTTCGTTAAAGGGAATATAATTCCACTCTAAAATGCATTACACATTTTATCATTTCTGCGAAACAAAAGCTCAAATCAATGTTCATAATAATATATTGAAACTTTTCATTATTGAGCATTATGTGCAAATTATCATTTTTATTTTGTGTTTTATTAAGCAAAGAGAAGGCGAACATTTATTGAAATTAAAGTGCTCACCCTACTAATTAATAGATTTTTATTAAAAGTACTGGAACAAAATTAAATGTTTAGAATTTCTAAGAAAATTACCAATTTTTGTGTCTCTTTGCTTCATAAACTATGAAATTACCATGAATTTGATTTATTTTTCAATTTTCAGGAATTTGAATAAAATGCATTGCAAAATTCGATTATTTCCATAAATAACAATATTCATCACAAGAATTCAATTATTTTCAAAATTAGTAACATTCTTCGCAGAAATTCAATTATTCTCAAAATTAATACCATTCTTCGCGGAAATTCATTGATTTAAAAAAAAATTTAAAAACATTGTCAACATTTCAATTATTTTTAAAAATGAATAGCAAAATTTTGATACAAAATTCAATTATTTTCAGGAATTTAAGTAAAATTCATTGCAAAATCCAATTATTTTTGTAAATAACAATATTTATCACAAGAATTCAATTATTTTCAAAATTAGTAACATTCTTCGCAGAAATTCAATTATTCTCAAAATTAATACCATTCTTCGCGGAAATTCATTGATTTAAAAAAAAATTTAAAAACATTGTCAACATTTCAATTATTTTTAAAAATGAATAGCAAAATTTTGATACAAAATTCAATTATTTTCAGGAATTTAAGTAAAATTCATTGCAAAATCCAATTATTTTTGTAAATAACAATATTTATCACAAGAATTCAATTATTTTCAAAATTAGTAACATTCTTCGCAGAAATTCAATTATTCTCAAAATTAATACCATTCTTCGCGGAAATTCATTGATTTAAAAAAAAATTTAAAAACATTGTCAACATTTCAATTATTTTTAAAAATGAATAGCAAAATTTTGATACAAAATTCAATTATTTTCAGGAATTTAAGTAAAATTCATTGCAAAATCCAATTATTTTTGTAAATAACAATATTCATAACAAGAATTCAATTATTTTCAAAATTAGTAACATTCTTCGCAAAAATTCAATTATTTTCAAAAAATTTTCAACTTTTAAATTATCTTTATAAATGAATAGCAGAATATTGTTATAAAATTCAATTATTTTCGGGGATTTTAGTAAAATTAATTGCAAAATTCAATTATTATCATAAATAATAGTATTTATTACAAGAATTCAATTATTTTCAGAAATTTTTATAAAATTCATGTCAAAATTTCAATTATTTTCAAAAATTCTTCTTAATTCAATGATTTTCAATATTCTACTATTGGAATAAAAATTTTCAAGAGAATTCAATTATTAAACAAAAAAGTTTGATAAAATTCTACACAAACATTCAATTATTTTCCAAAAAAATAAAAATTTCACAGGAATTCAATTATTTAAAATAGAATTTGCATCAAGTTTTTAGAAAAAATCAAATGTTAAAATTTGGATTTTTCACAGTAATTCCATTATTTTTTCATAAATTTTAAAATTCCTTTCAGGAATTTAATTATTTTCAATTTCATAAATAATAAAATCATTCGGAGGAAGCTAACTATTTTCATAAAGAACAATATTCATCCCAAGAATTCAATGACTTTCAAAAATTTTAATAAAATTCATATTGCAAAATTTCAATTATTTTTGAAAATTTTTCCTAATTCAATAATTTGTATATCAATTATTTTAATAAAATTTCCCAAAAGAATTCAATTATTTAAAATCAATTTTGACAAAATTCTACACGAATATTCAATTATTTTCTAAAATATTGAAAGTTTCACAGGAATTCAGTTATTAAAAATCAATTTCGCATAAATTTCTTTGTAAAAAGTCAACTGTTTGAAACTTTTTTTTATATTATTCTTCCCAATAAATTCAATTATTTTCATAAATTAAATAATAAAAATCATTGCTGAATTTCAATTATTTTGAACACAATTTTAATCAAATTCCTCGCAAAATGTAATTATTCTTAAAAATTCTATTAAAATTCGCCGAAAGAATTCAATTATTTAAAAAATTTGTTGATAAAATTCTTTATGAGAATTAAATTTTTTGAGAAACATTCAATTAATCAATAAATTATCTATGTTTGTATTTAAATAATTGAATTCTCGTAGAATTTTCTAAGAAAAATGGTTTTAAAAATTTAAAATCCGGTGAAGAATATTATTATTTATGAAAATAATTGAATTCTTACAACGAATTTTTATTAAATTTTTTTAAATAATTTAAATCCTATGGAAAATTTTATTATTTATGAAAATAATTGATTTCTTGCAACGAATTTTATTCCTTTTTTCTAAATAATTAAATTTTTATAAAACATGAAGATATCGATCACTCCGAGTCGAAGACTCGGAGTAATTGATGTCTTTATGTTTTATTCTTCTAAGTTATTAAATTTCAAATAGGTTTGAATTTGAATGTTTCGAAGAATTTCAATTCTTGTGGTAAAATAATGTTTATTTAAAATAGATGTTATTGATGTTTTCGAAAAATTTTACAATCAAAGAAAATTGTAAATAAATGTAATAGAACACTTTTTTGAGTATCTAATTATTTTTAGAGTGCATTAGAATATTCTTTAGGGTCAGGGAAAAAGTGAAAATTTTGTCTGGAAATCAGGGAAAGGTCAGGGAGAAACAAAATTAAATTTTTGTGGCAACCCTGGAAATGAAACAAAGTTTGCGGCTGATATAAAATTTGTTCCATTTCAATTATAAATTTAAGAATATATAAATTACAATTATAAATAAGTTGCAAGTATAGTAATTCCCATTAATAAACAAATGGAGAAAGAAGAAGATTATTTTATTTTTTATTCTTTTATTTATTTAAATACATAATTTATTGTTATTATTTTTACTAGAATAATTACTAGAATTATAATATAATAATGTAATTGTTTTTATTATTATATAAGAATAGAATTATTCTAGTGAAATTCTAAAGAATATTGACTAGAATTTTTGTAGAATTATTCTATTATATTTATTATAATAACTAAATTGTAAATAATTCTTATTAATGGTCAAAATTAGTGAAAATAAAGTGGGGGAAAAATAGATATAATGACAAAGTCATGTTACGGTTATACTAATATGTACATTCGATTTTAAATTTACAGTTTTTCAATTAATTTCACATTACATACATGATTGAAGAATATAAACAAAATATTTTGACGCAAATATAATGAAAACAAAATAATGAGTTTTCTCGAAAGATATTATTTATTAATTCCTATTCTCAGAGGCTTTATGTGCAATTTCCTGATTCAGTTTTCCTGTCTCGAATCCCAGCAATATCCAATTATCGATCTCACGAATAATACGGATATAATTTAATTCTCTCAAAGCTCGAAACCATTCTTGCTTGCAAATGCACTCAGTATCTTCCCCACTTTTCCAACCCCCTATTTACTCCCACCTTCGAGATTTAAAAGTAGTAGTGGTGGGGGAGACAAACAAAAGATACGGTCCAACTAATTGCTTTACACACTGGCCGATCACTTGTCATTCGCTTCTCCTTCGGTTACACCTCAGTGACTTCTTTTTTTCTTCCTCCTCCTCCCTTTATTCCTCCAAAAAAAAAAAATAAATAAATAATCAAAATTTTCTAGTTTCTTTTTTAGCAAAAGTGTTATTAGTGAAAACAGTGTTTTTTCCACTATTTTTGAGTTATTAATAATAAATGAGAATAGGAATAAAATGGCAACCTTACGGTATGTATAATTGTTTACCTGTGGGAAAAATGTTAAATTATTAAATTTACAAAATTTTATTTTCAGACGGGATTTAAAGTACATTATTTTTTATTACCTCGGACTCGTTTTGTATTCGAGTTGTGAGGAAGCAAACTTTAATAACAATTCAAGAGTTTATCAAAACGAATGGGTGGTGAGGATTGAAGGAGGGCCGGAAGTTTCCACGCTTCTTGCACTGAGATCAGGTTACATCCATATGGGACCAGTAAGTGAGTTTACTTTCCTACTGTAAAAATATTTTTTAATTTTCAAAAAAAAAAAAAAGAAACAAAACTTTTTGTCATTAAAATAAATTACACTCAAAAGAAATTATTATATTTGAATCATTCTATTTGTAATCATCATTTCTATAAGTTTTCTTTGGATCAAATAAATTTTCTTTGAATCAAAATAAATTTGTTTCGAATAAATTACTTTTTAAATGAAAGAAAAATTTGTTTCGAATAAATTTTTTTTTATTTTGAATCAAAGAAATGTTTGTTTTGAATCAATTATTTTTTTGTTTGAATCAAAATAAATTTGTTTTGAATACTTTTTTTTAATCAAAAGAAAAATTTGTTTTGAATCAATTTTTTTTTATTTTGAATCTAAGAAATATTTGTTTCGAATCAATTATTTCTTAGTTTGAATCAAAATAAATTTGTTTCGAATAAATTTCTTTTTGAATTAAAGATAAGTTTGTTTTGAATTAATTATTTTTTAGTTTGAATCAAAATAAATTTCTTTCGAATACATTTTTTTTAATCAAAAAAATATTTGTTTCAAATAAATTTTTTTTTTGTGCAAAGAAAAATTTGTTTCGAATCAATTTTTTTTTTATTTTGAATCAAAGAAATATTTGTTTTGTATACACTTTTTTTAAATCAAAGAAAAATTTGTTTCGAATGAATTTTTTTTTTTATTAATAAAAAGAATTTGTTTCGAATCAATTTTTTTTTCTAAGAAAAGTTAATTTTCTTTGGAAGAAACACATAAAAGAAGTAGATTTCTTTAAATAAAAATCTTTATTCTGGGTGTAAATACAAAATTTAAGTACAAAATTACTTTAATAACGTAATTGATTAAGTTTATCAAAATGTGTATTTAAATCTTTTTTTTTAACTAAAAGTTTTGACAATTATATAAATAATTTTTATAAAAATATTTACTTAACACTGCATATTGAGAGTTATTCTTAATTCACGTCGGACTGTGAATGTCTTGTTCTACTGAAAATTAATATTTGATTTTTCAAATGCTATGTGAGGTGTACGTGTTTCAGAGAGTTTTAATTTAGTTTTTATACTCTCCAGGTACACTCATAAAGCATATTTTACAAAAAGTTATAATACAAGAGCTCTGCAGTAACTTTTCAAAAAAAAAAAGAGAAAAATAAAGTGTGATTTAAAATTAAAATAGAATTTAAATATTCTAAGAATTTACGTATAAAATGAAAATACTTGAATTTTAATTGAATTTTCATATTAGTTTGGAAAGGAATTCTTAACGCTTTTCTAATAAAATTTCATCGGCGCTCGATCCTTCATATCTTCATTTAAACGTTCAATATTCCAGATCGATTATTATTTCACTTGAAAACAAAAAAAAAAAAAATTTCGAGGAGTTTATAAAGTTATTTGCATATTTTTAAGGGACACGAAAAATATTTTTTTTTTAAATCTACAATAAATTAATAATCGATTATTATTGTTCTTGTTATTATTATTTTTCTTTTCAGTGAAATTCAAGTAAATATTTAATTTCACTGAAGAGAAAAATTAATTAATTTAAATAACCGATTACTTGTTTATTATCAAATAAAATATTTGGAGTAAAATATTTGAATATAAAATATAAAAGTAAAATATTCGGAGCAAATGCAATTTATAACCAAAAATTTTGTTATTTCAATTAAATTATTTCTTAGTAAAAAATTATTTAATAAAGTGGTTACAAATAATTATTTTGATTTATAAACCATTAAAAGAAAGTAATGTTCACTATTACAATAAAATAAAGTAAAAAATTAAAAATATTATTTGATTTGAAATCATAAATCAAAGAGAAACGAGACTCTAATCGCAAAATGCGGGCGTGGGAAAGAAATCCACTATGGCGAAATAATGTGACTTTTTCTTACATCACACTTCCTTGTTTTATGAATAAATTAGTATGTAATTAAAAATTTCGATTAACAGCCCGTAGTACCTGCGAGTAAATATAGTAATATCTATAAGTTAACTTATTAAAATTGTCACTTTCATTTCTTTCATTTCTTTTTTTATAAATTCGTTTAATTCCAATCAGTACACTGAAAAAAAAAATTATTTGACTCAAATAACCAATAAATTGACTATTATTAATTAAATATTTACTTGGATCAAATAATATTTATTGGAGACAATTAAATTGAATTTTCTTCAAATACTCAGGCTACGAACTCATCACTACTATTTACTATACTTTAAATTCACTAATACTAGAAATCAAAAAAGTATTCTCAAAAATTATAATCAAATACTTTAAAACGATTCAATTATTTTCAAAAAAATATTTGAAATTCAATTATTTTTAATATCTAGTATTTTCATCAAATTTCGCAAAAGAATTAAAATATTTTTAAAAAATTGATAAAATTCATCCACAGATTCAATTATTTTTATAAATAATAAAATTTCCATAGGAATTTAATTAATTTAGAATAGCATTATCAAAAAAATTTCGAAAAAATCAATTATTTCACCAAATTTTTATACAATTCTTCACAATAATTCAAATACTTTCACTAATAATAACATTTTTCATGAAAATTCAATTTTGTGTAAAAATGTTTGATAACATTCTAAGGAAGAAATTAATTAATTTCATAAATTAACTCATCGAAGAATTTCAATTATTTTAAATACTATTTTAAATTAATAAAATCGAAAACTTCAATTATTTTTGCAAATAAAGTTTTCCACAAGAATTCAATTATTTAAAATAAAATTTCCATAATATTTATAATATTTCGAAAAAATTAATTATATAAAACATTGTTTATAAAATTATTACAAAAAATTCTATTATTTTCAAAAATAACAAAATTTATCACAAAAATTCAATTATTTTCAAAAATAACAAAATTTTTACAAAAATTTAATTCTTTTTAAACAATTTAATAAAATTTTTCGCAACTGTTCAATTATTTACATAAATAATAAAATTCATTGCAGGATTTCAATTATTTTTGAAAATTTTAATCAAATCCTTAGCAACTGTTTAATTATTTTCATAAATAATAAAATTCATCCCAGGATTTTAATTATTTTTAATCGAATTTTAGAGAAATTGATCAAAAAATTTAATTATTATTAACAATGTAATTTCAATTCTTCGAAAACATCAATTATTTTTAAAAATTTTTATAAAATTCTTTGGAATAATTCAATTTTTCTCATAAATAATAGAACTCATCTAAGAATTTCAATTATTTTTAATACTATTTTAAATTGATTTATCGACAAATTCAATTATTTTCACAAATAAAGTTTTCCACAAGAATTCAATTATTTAAAATAAAATTATCATAATATTTATTATATTTCGAAAAAATTAATTATTTAACAACGTTTACAAGTTTTTTATGAAGAATTAAATTATATTAAAAATTAACATAAATTTTCACAGAAATTTTAATTCTTTTTAAACATTTTAATAAAATTTTTCGCAAGCATTCAATTATTTTCATAAATAATAAAATTCTTTAGGGAAATTCAATTATTTTCATAAATAATAAAATGCATCGCAAGATTTCAATTATTTTTAATACAATTTTACAGGAATTTCTCAAAAAATTTAATTATTCTTAAAAATTTAATTTCCATTCATCGAAAAAATAAATTATATAAAAAACGTTTTTTTAAAATTCTTTGGAAGAATTCAATTACATATTTACAAAAATATTAGAATTTTTCACAAAAATTCAATTATTTAAAAATATTTTTATAAAATTCTTTGGAAGAATTTAATTATTTACAAAAATATTAAAATTTTTCACAAGGAATTCAATTATTTTAAAATATTTTTTACAAAATTCTTTGGAAGAATTCAATTATTTACAAAAATATTAGAGTTTTTCACAAAAATTCAATTATTTTAAAATATTTTTATAAAATTGTTCGAAAGAAATCAATTATTTACAAAAATATTAGAATTTTTCACAAAAATACAATTATTTTACAATATTTTTATAAAAGTTTTTGAAAGAAAAACAAAATTATTCCCGAAAATTTAATTATTTTGAGGCGTTTTAATAAATTTTTTTGTAAAATTTAATTATTTTCAAAAATACCAATATTTATCACTAGAATTCAATTATTTTGATAAATAGTAAATTTCTTTTTGTAAATTAAATTATTTTTAAAAATTCTAATAAAATTGTTTGCAAGAATTCAATTTTATTATTTTCATAAATAATATAAAATGCTTTTTAGGAATGAAATTATTTTCAAAAAAATTTAATAAAATGCCACACGGACATTTAATTATTCTCAAAAATTTTAATAGAATTCTTTGTAAAATTTAATTATTTTTAAAAACTTTTCACAATTCAATGATTTTCAATATCCACTATTTATAATACAATTTGCAAACAGAATTCAATTATTTAAAAAAAAATTTGTAAGAATCTTCGTAAGAATTTAATTTTTTTTTTGAATAGTAAAAGTTTTTCAGGAATTCAATTATTTAAATATTAAATTAGAATTTGCATAAAATTAGTCGAAAAAAATGAATTATTTAAAAAATTTTCTAAAATTCTTCGCACGAAATAAATTATTTTTATAAATATTGAAATTCTTTCATGAATAATAAAATTTGTTTGTAGGAATTCAATTTATTAGCAGTAAGATATATAAGAAAGAAGTAAATATTTTTGATGAAAATTAGGAAAAAGTCATCAGGAAAATAAAATATAGAATAGAATTTTTGTCAGTTTTATGAAGTGTCTAAAACGAGTATTTTTGATCGTCGAGTTTAATTTTTCTATAGCTACTTTTTTTAGTTTGAAAACTACTTTTTGCTATACTTTTTTTAAAATTAATTATCGAATGAGAAATCAGAGTACTGAAGCTATTGGTTTAAATAAAATTTATTTCAACGACAATTTGATTTGAATATTTATTTGATTCAAGTAAATATTTAATTGAATATAATTTTCTTGATTTTAAATTTAATAATTGAATA